TGTGTCTGTGTGTGTGTGTGTGTGTGTGTGTGTGTCTGTGTGTGTGTCTGTGTGTGTGTGTGTGTATGGACAAACGTACACTATATCAAGACAAAAACTACACTTATCGTTCCAAAAATAACCAAATCTTTAAAACTGCATGTTACTTTATTTGTGAACATCCATTAGGATATTGATATTCCTATTTTTAGGAAACGCAGCGTCAGCCAAGAATCAATAATAGTTAGGAAAATGACGCCATGTTTGCTTAAACACGTATCCTTATGGGAGTACGTTGTGGAAACAGAACACTGTTCTCTCATTTCATTCTCGTATCATCAGCTATTGCCAACGCCTTTCCACCATCGCCCAAATGGATCTCTGGAAAAGGGCTCTCGTGGTCGAGGGGATACGTTGTCAAAAATAAATCTCTAGGGGTTACCAGATTAAGCGGTTCGTCTAATTATCTGTATGCTTGGGGACACCATACAAATAAGTTTCGCGGTTTCACTATCAAATGGTCGTTAAGGACAAGCGGGCTAAACCAGATTTTTTCGGGGGGTTTCCAGAAATCTTTACCTACATCAAAAGTGGTCATTGCCCTACCTATAGGAGAAGTTTGGTTTCGTTGGTGGGTATATTTGTTTGGTTATAGAGAAAACTCTCCTTTTTTTATAAAGAAACTGAATAAGGGGCAAAAACTTTATCTCCTTTTCGTGTATGTTTTCTCTTGTAACACCCCTATTCTTCGGCATTTATATGACCTTATTGTGTTGCAAGTCTTACTAAAACAAAACAGATTGTGTAAACGACGTCCAACAAACACTTCAAAATGCATTTCAATTTTCCAGCTGATTACTGACGAGTGCTCAAGTTATAGATCTGATTCTGGCACCTTCTTTTTCTTTAATTTTCTCAAAACTTCAAATTAGTGACTTTATAGGCTCTTGTGGTATGACGTGGCCGGTGTTTTGTTCCGTGGACTATAAAACAGAAGGCACGGGTTTCAGTCCCAAGATTGAAGAAGGTGCAAGGCCTGTAAGTCATCACC